ACCAATCAATTAAATTATGTACCACAGGAAGACCAATCAACAAATTTATGTCTGCCGTGCTCCCTTTTATAGTAATCTATACCATAACCATAACCATAACCCAGTCGAGTGTGATTTAATTGTTCTATCTATCTGCTCTCTTAATGGAAATAAGATCAATTATATCGGGTGAGTCCCGCGTGTGGCAACATGCGCGTGAAACCAAACGGAAAGTGAAAAGGACGTTACTGACTAATCCCGATATTTCTTATAAACCGAAAACCGAAACTCAACAACAACGACAACAACAACAACAACAACAACAACAAAAATTGAAAGAACAAAAGAATTTCAAAGCCGCAAAACGACATACTATAAATATACGCATGCCACAACCAGTCAACAGAAATTGCATGCCCAAAGACTAAAGCCATGGATGAAGCTGTGCCCAGCATAACACCGGCACATAAAATAACAACAGAACGCACAGCACAACTACATGCGTACAACAAAAGTCATAAATAAAGAAAACGAAATATGTCACGACAAACCAAAAACTGACCTTGAAAAAAATTTAACGAAGCCATCATAAAAACGTGATAGCCTAGCAAAACTGCAGGCGTAAAACACAAAAGTCATGAATAAAGCTCATAAGCCAAACATCTCATGACAAACAATAACTGGCTCTGAATAAATTTTTTAACGAAGACAGCATAACAAAGTGCACGTGAAATAACAATCAAAGCATAGAAAAAAACTGCAAAATATAACTGGCAAAAACTGTGGACGAAAAGCCAGAAGTGACGGAGTACACAATAAAACAAAACCACGAAAAGTATACATTGACAAAAAGCCATGAAGAACGCTGAGGCAAACAGTTCATTACCAAACACACTGGCAAATATTTTAAACGAACGGCCAGAAGTGACGGAGTGCACAGTGACAACCAAAATATAGCATAGCAAACATTACTATTAGAACTACAAAATGTACAAACCAAGGGAAATTCACTGCCATCGTAAGGACAGTTGAGCTAAAACTTGATAAAACAGGTAATCCTGCCACGAACATTAGCGAAACTCGGCAAGTATCGAAAAAACCCGACAAGTTAAGTAAAACAAGAATATTACCACAATTTCTCCTTGGTTTTGCTGCATGGCCAACAATTGGATTCACTGGGACATCGGGGAATACGGGTACTTGTACTTCTGTATTGTGCTTAGCCACGTTAAAAGCAAGCTACCGAAGAGGAACATACGTCGCAACTGGGTACAGAACGTGGTTTCTCACTGTTGATATACTCGTGTGGCGGAGACCGCTGAGCATAGCATGGCGAATTGTCAAATGATTTTGCACTTTGGTCTTTATCATATAGTTTCACATTGGATACCAGAAAGTTACATAAAAATACACCCTGACACAGCTGTGTAGTCTATAATAATAATAATAATAATAATAATAATAATAATAATAATAATAATAATAATAATAAGGATGATGATGATGATAATAATAGGAGGTTCTCATATAGCGCATTTATACAAGGTCTCAATGCGCTTTACATTCATGACCAGTGGAGGACTTTACGCGCTGAGTATTTAGGCGCTAGTAGCAGCCGTGCAGCTTACAATCATGAGTGATTTCTTAGTACTGACATTAGTGTTATGCCTCCAGTTTGAACCGGAAGACAATCCACTACTCTTACACGAATAATTCAACAGGTTCTTTTATATCCCCCACTTTACTGTAGGCTAGGAAGGGTTGGGAGACAGGGCCTACGGTTTAAAATCCTTATCCAAAAAGACTTGAAGGTCTAACCATTTGCAGATATTTACAAAGGCAGCATCTTCTCCTCAGTTATTTTAAGACCCTGAGTGTATAACTTTTCCAATATTTGGGGTTGGCAGCCCTGGAGTAGCGTTGCCGCTTGTTGGCATTCGATTCTCCTATGCTTCGACGGTTTTTCTCTGAGTATTCCCGTTTTCATCTCTCCGCGAAAAAGCCAACTTAAAAGTTCAGTGGAGGAAGAGCAACTCTGTAGAAATGCCACTTTAACGTCGTACATCAAATCAAATAAAATCATGCATTTATTTGATCATTTTTAGTTGTTTGCAAACATTCGTTTCTTTATTTTCAATTTGTTCGAAAAAGAGGAAACGATGAAAAAATTTCAAGATCAAAGGTTTGAGCAGGTATAATGTTTGGGTCACCCATCCAGGTACTAACCCATCTCAGACGGGCTTGACTCAGTGTCTTGATAGCCCAGGTTTTTTCCACTGAGCCACGGTTATATGGGATTAACATAACAATAGCCGTGAAAACAATGCAACCAGATAGACTAGACTTTTTAACATTATAAATTCAACCGATTCCGTGCGTGGCAGAGATGCAAGGGATTAGCCGATATGGTCTGGGGGCCGGCTGGTCTCTCCCCTGATGCTTCGGCTAGAACATTTTCTTG